TTGATGGGGGGCATGTGGTTGTGGTTCACACCAATATGGTGTGATCCTTTTCTTTTCAGTGTTACTCTTGTTGTAGTCTTTTCCTAAGGAACATATTGCTATCATGGTGCTATTTTGTCTTGTACTACAGCTCCGTCACCTTTTTGTTGCCTGGATTTTTCCAAGCCCCTGTTGACAATAAGTGTGTTGGCATAATTTTTTCTTACCCTCAAAGCTTATTGCATTTTCTGTTCCGTTTGTTTGTGATTGTTGGAAACAGTTTGGTTATCATATACCCGTAGTTAATGACAGGAATTTTGCTTCCTCGACAGGTGTCCAGGCTTTTGCAGAGGCTTTGCTGATCATTGTGAAAGTGCTAGCGCAGAACTCAGGCCTTGATCCCCAAGAAGCCATTGTCAAACTGCAGCAGGAATATCTGGGCACTGACCAGGCTGTTGGGTTAGATATCAAGACAGGTGAGTGATGGGATCTTGTTTTGTGTTGACCTTGCTCATGAGAGCAGGCCCAGGAAAAGATTGGGGGGGGGCACAGAATATTTAGACAAAAACACCATATCAATACAACAGACGATACAAAAGCAGGAGAAAGATATTTGTGAGGCAGCGTGGTGGAATCAGGCTCTCGTCAAAATAATCAAAGTGAAGAAACTTGCATTTTTCCACAGGTTTGTGAATTTTTATCAAATTATTGTGTTTTGGTACACCTTTCATGAGCATTAAAGAACTCATTTCTGTGTGGATTTTTCTGAAAAGCGTTGATGAAAGGCATAAAAAATGTAAATCTTCAGTTACCACGGACTCTTAAGCTAAGGAAATAACTAATCTTTGGCGGCCATTTTCTCACTAATTTTACCTCTGAAAATAGATGACCCCCACCTCCTTTTGCAGATATCTCGACTTGTATTCAAGATAAATGGATATTTTTTACATCCAAATAAAGATAAGTGAACAAACTTTAAGATGATACCAATAACTTTACATGCCTGAAAATTGACGAGAGCCTGATTCCACCACGCTGCCTCACATTTTGTTTCCATTTGACACTGAAAGATCACAAAGAATACAGAGTATATCACCTAAGTACATTTCCAAGGATTGTTCCTACAATACTAGATAGCCTATCATTGATAGCCCCTGAGTTGTTGTGATGAAATGTTGAGTTACCGCCCCAGTCTGATATAACTATGACTGAATGGTAAATATTCTGATACAACCTGGAGGGCGTCTAAAATTCATTGGTGCAAAAGTAAGGAAATATATGCTCCTTTGGAGGATTTGTCAAATGGGAAATGAAAAATTGATTTTTAGAACGAAGCTTTTAGCTGAAGTGAGAAGGCAAAAGCTATAAAGCTGTGAAGTGGATGTCTTTGTAAAAGAGGGTTATTAATTTTTTTCAAGAGACATTTGCCTAAAATCTGTTAATTTTTTGCTGTTGTTTGTTTCATACTGATGCTCTCAAGCAGAAGACATTGATGTTGCAGGATAATTTTGAGAATGTTATGAATGACAAAAGCCATTGCTCTTGTCATTTAAAATATATGTTAACTTTATTTATTTCTCCTTTTTTTTGGGTGCTATTTTCAACATTGCTGAAATCTTCATTTTTATAAAATACTTAACACATATGTGAGGCATCAAGGTGAAATCAAGCGCTTGTTAAAATAACTAAATCTGGGAAACAAGCATTTTTCTGTCAATCTGGCAATTTTCATTGAATTGTTCTTTTTTGCTTCAACTTGTTTTATGTCCATCAAAAAACATTTCTATGGGAATATTACCAAAAAAAATGTTGATTAAAGGAACAAATGATGTCATTTTTTATTTTTCAAGGACTTTTTGGCTATTGGAATTTCCAAACTTTGGACGGCCATTTTCTCACAAATTTCATCATTGAAACCAGGCAACCTCACCCCCTTCAATCGCAAATATCTTGACTTCTATTTAAGATAGATAGGTTGGGGTTTTTTTCATTGAAAATCAAAGCAAATAAATAAGTTTTCAGGTAATGCCAATAACTCTACATGACAAAAAATTGATGAGCGCCTGTTCACCACGTTGTGGCACATATCGGTACTTTACCAGAGTTACTGACAGCTTGTTAATTTTTCAGAAAATGTAGAAGCTATTGTGTTTTACATTAAAACAGTCTTGATACAGGATGTATTATTAAATGATCAGTAAATATTACTCCCCTGGCCTGGCATGTCCTGAAAAGGTCAGGATTTATTTCTTTGGGTGGGGGGGTTGTTCGTAACCAGTTGACAGGGCTGTGTTGTTGTGATGAATTGTTGAGTTTACCGCCCCAGTCTGATCACTGTGACTGAATGGTAAAAATTCTGATACAACCCTTGGGGTTTGAAGTTCACTGGTTCAGAAGGTGCTACACAGGCTGGCAAATTGAAACTACTGTTGGGTAGAACAAAGGGGAGTTGATAGATTCTGTTGAAACGGCAAACATGTGAGTTACTAAATGTTTGGTAGTCTTCTTATTGAATAGTAAAACCACAATGTTCCATCTTGGTATGTATTTTTTTTAGGATAATCAAAACAGCACCAGATAACAATGTTTGTTTGAGTGACTCAATCTTGCTGACATCCAAATATATTCATTGTGACCCACATCTTCAGCTACAGAAGTCAATACGAATAGATTGTGTCATTGAGTGTCATGTTTTAAAATGTGTAACAACAGCTGTTGGACTATTCATTTTCGATGAGTGTGGCTGATTATTTAGCTCAATATTGCTCAAATGCTGTGGACAGTGTGTTCCATGTTTTGAAATCCTCTGGTTTCAAATGAAATACTTGTCCATAATCTTGTGTGTCTTGAATCTGTTCTAGTTGAATGTACTACATATGTTTTAATGTGTTGTTGTGATGAATTGTTTTGTTTACCGCCCCAGTCTGATGGCTGTGACTGAATGGTAAAAATTCTGATACGACCATAAGAGGGGAAAACTTTTTTATTTGAGGTATAGCGATTCTCGTCATAACAAGCAGATCTGCTTTGGCATTCTCAGAGGGCAGTGGAGAATGCTGCGAAAAGACTTGACTAGGAGTGAAAAGACATAGATCTAGTTGTTGTTGGGTCCTGAAATAAAAACTCACCTCTCTTGAGGTGAAACTGAGGGAGAGTGGAAGGCTTTTGCGAGTCTAGCCTGGTGCAAGGAGACATTGTTTGGTAAAGGATGGATGGCAGTGCTCTTGTTATGCACATGCTATCTTGCACAATTCTTTTACTATGTGTCTTACGTACATGCCTTCTCTTTGTTTTATAGGTGAAGCCATGGTTCCTCTCAACGAAGGCATCATGGACAACTTCAATGTCAAGCGCCAACTCCTCCACTCCTGGTAAGTTTCTGTAGCAGTGGCAGTCTTCAGTGATTCTGTGTTTTGGAGGTTAGGAACTGACCTCAGTGTGAAAATCTTAACACATTGCACCCTAAGGGTCTGGACGGGAAGTCCATTCCTAGATCCTAAACAAGGGGAAGGAACCCACCTCCCGTGAATACAAGCGTTTAAAAAACACATTAAAAAAATACTAAACAAATTCCCGAAATCCTTTTTAAAAAATGAATGTAGTTTCAGAAAAATATAACTTTATGTATGCGCAAACTATTGGAAATGTTCTAACTATAGTTCAATCGGGGTGTTCGACCCGTCACTCTCTCTGCCTCGCGGTCGGGCCCTAGATGTGAATTCTAGATTTTCTACTTCTGATCAATCTGAATCACTCCAAACTCTTGCTACGTTTTCATCACAATCCTATTCATCTGGTTTGTCATATGCTTGTTTTTGCTCAAATCCAGCGTTATTTCCTTTTTCAAACTCATTTGTGTCACTTTTCAACGAGTCGAGACACCTTCGAAGTGTTGGTCACGCGATCACTTCGATCAGCTCTAATACTAAAACTACTGGCCTGAAAAATTTCGTTGTGGTATCAAAATGAACTTTTTGCAATAACTGTGCAAATCAAAATCTCTGCCCCAGAGTCTCGTCAAGGCGAGACTTCGTTTGTAAAGACGCTAGGTCGCCGCAGGCGGTTCCAGACGAGTCAGGGTGGAGCGCATAAGGAAATTTGCGGGCGAGTTAGGGTGTAATGTGTTAACTTATAAAAAATGACACTTCTGCTAGTACCTTTACTTACTTATTTTTTAAGGGTTTGTTTGAGTGTGTAAGAGGTTATTTGGACAGGTGGTCATTGGAACAGGTATGATTGTAGATGCATGATCTATCTAACAGTGCATAGTCTTTGTTTTGCTCCTTCTTTCCCTCCAGACATCTATCGTCCTGATCTCTCCTCCTTTTTTGTGTTTGTTACTCTCTTGTAACACCTCTAATCTTTGGCACTTATATGACCTTATTATGTTGCAAGTGCCGTAAAACTTTTACTATAAATTTGTTTTTACCCTGCCATTTTGCTCTCTTCCCCAGTACTGTGATCGCTACCAACCTCCTCCTGGTCGACGAGATCATGCGGGCGGGAATGTCCTCTTTAAAGGGAGACTCTTGATGACCTCCTGTCTTTGTCGCCCTTGTGTGTGTTTGTGTGGACTTTTTTTTTTTTATGATTGCGATATTCAGTTTTGCATACGTATTTATCCGTAGAATGTTTTTTAGTGACTGTTCTTTTGTGTTCGTCGCTGAGCTTGTTGATCAAAGAGATCTTTCGCTTTCGGGTCCTAAAATGATTTCTGGTCTTAATTACGTACATAGTATTACGTAAAGGAACTGTGAAGAAATGAATTTTGTCCTAATGGCAGAATTGAATTTCAATGTTCTACTCGTTTTTTAAAAAGTCATTCTTAAAACGTCCAAATCCTAATGATTATGTGATAGAGTATATACAAAGGACCCACTTTCTGTAAGAGTGGTTGTTGCCATGGAGACTTCTCCCCTCTGGAAATATGGGGGGGGGGAACTAGTCTGTAGCTCAGGCCTCCATGGTTTGGACATGGAAGTTGTTGTTGTATGTCCATTCGTTTGTGTTGCATCATTGCTTGTTTTTTTTCCTTTTTATAAAAACAAATAAACTTTTTGATCTTTTCATCCTGTTGTACTTCTGACTTGTTTTTTAAATAGGTGGAAAAGAGTTAGCTTATGCAGTTGTGAGTGCCGTAAAACCTTGCTAAAACTAAAACGAAGAGTTCGCTGTGCTTCGTTTTTGTTCTGATTATATTGTATTGAGCTTCTAAATTTTTTTCCTCCCTGACTGTAGGGAAGGTGTGATGGAACATCTCTCTTGATATAATAAACCTTTCATCTTTGTCCTGGACTGATGAAATGCATAGACATAGGCCTACAAGGAAAGGGGGGAGAATAATATTGGATGGCATTTATATTCCACTCAAAAGCATTTTTCCATGTTGTGAAAAAAGCAAAGATTATACTTATAGATTTATTCTATGGGCACATGCGCTTGTTCACCAATAGTAAAAATGCATGTGTGGGTGGTTGGCGGGTGCTCTGGTGTGGTTTGCTTCTTCTTTCCTATCAAACATCTGTCGTCCTGATCTCTCCTCCTTCTATTTTGTGTTTGTTCCTCTCTTATAACACCTCTAATCTTCGGCACTTATATGACCTTATTGTGTTGCAAGTGCCGTAAAACTCTTTACTAAAAAATGCATGTGGGTGGTTGGCGGGTGCTCTAGTGTGGTTTGCTTCTTCTTTCCTATCAAACATCTATTGTCCTTATTTCCCCTTCTTCTTTTTTGTTTGTTACTCTCTTGTAACACCTCTAATCTTCTGGCGCTCATATGACCTTATGCAGTTGCGAGCGCTGTAAAACCTCTACTAAAATGAACAAAAAATATATGAATAGATATTGTGCATTCTCTGGTGCTCTCGTGTGGTTTGCTCCTTCTTTCCTATCAAACATCTGTCATCCTGATCTCTACCCCTTCTTTTTTGTGCTGTTGCTCTCTTGTAACACCTGTAATCTTAGGCTCTTATATGACCTTAGTGGGTGGTTGGCGGGTGCTCTTGTGTGGTTTGCTCCTTTCCTATCAAACATCTGTCTTTATCTCCCCTCCTCCTTTTTTGTGTTTGTTACGTTACTCTCTTGTAACACCTCTAATCTTCGGCACTTATATGACCTTATTGTGTTGCAAGTTCCATAAAGCTCTTACTGAAACAGAACATGGTGTGTTTGTCTCTTACAACACCAGTTGGATATGGGGAAGGCGGGTGTTGCTTGTAATACATGTACTAGGGCACCCCGGTACGATTGATGTTGATAAGTACTGGCTGGGTGTCTTGGGAGGGGGGGGGGGGGAAGACCCATTTGAAGGGCAACAGCTCTTTCATTTTTGGAACAGTTTCAACAAAACTTCGAAGGGCTATATTTCAACTAGAGAAGCGTTACATTTGCTAATAAATATTAATTAAAAAATCAACCGTATTTGAAAAATATCAAGTCTTTAAAAATTCAACCAAATTTGAGTGATATGCAAATCTGAAATATTTCAAATAGTCACTCTCTGTGCATTGAAAAGCAAGTTTTTTTGGGGGTTTTTTTAGTAGAGGGTTTTACGGCGCTCGCAACTGCATAAGGTCATATTAGCGCCAAGGGGTGGGTGTCAACAGAAAAGTCTTTACAGGGAATCAGGCTTACTCTGCTCACCTGTCTAGTTTCAAAGGCACAAGGTCTTTTTGTTTGTTTTTGTGAAGTGTTTTACGGCGCTCGCAACTGCATAAGGTCATATGAGCGCGCGGGACACACCCAATATTTTCAGTTGGTATGAAATTTTGAATTTTGCCCGGGTGGCGGCCGAAGCCTACTCTTATCGATTTTAGACCACCAAGGGATCTTTAACGTGCGCAACTTGCACACGGGCCCTCCGAGATTTTTCGCCCTTGTCCGAGAAGGCTAGGTGTAGATCTTTCCTACCAGAAGATCAGGGGTGTGGCTGAAAGACAGCAGTAAGAAGAAGCGAAGGAGTAGCAATAGAAAGGCTGCAGAAAGAATCAGAAGCCCAGAGGAGGGGGCAAAGGAGGTGAGGGGGTGGGGGCAGAAAGAGGAGACGAAAGCAGACGACAGAACATTGCTAGAGAGCAGGAAATGAGGTGAAAGGAGACAAATTTAGAGAAGAAAATTTTTCGGTCGCTTCCCGGAATCGAACCCGGGACCTTTGAATGAGAGGCCAACACCTTAACCTCTAGGCCACGAGAGCCCCCTGCACAAGGTCTGCTTCGACTATCAAGGCGCCCCGGAAATAGCCGGTAAAAAGAGTGTGACAAACATACAAAAGAAGTACAGAAAAATGACAATAGTAAGGGTCAGGAAAGAAAAAGCAGCAGTTCCCTGTTGTAGATCAGGCACAGTTATGAGTGTGACATGATGAATCAGCACATTTACAATTCTACTGTGCTTGAACGAGAAATATCCCCCCTTTGGGAATGGCCTAAAGACACTTCAGTAAGTGGCACTGCCCTGGGGGGTTAAAAGCAAGTTTATACACAATGATATTGCCCCCCCCCCCCCCCCCAAAAAAAAAAAACCTTTTTAAAAAACCCCGAAAAGTGATGGGTACAATGTATTTCAAGCTCCAGGTGTTGACCAATTCTCCCATTTCACTGGAAATTTTGAATCCCCCCAAGGGTCTACTTTTAAAAATTTTTAGACATCCAGTATTGTAGAGCTGTATTTCTTAGGAGACTGCTAAGAGTCAAGAGTATCCTGGAAGGAAAAGAAATCAAATGAGGTAGTGCTTGATGAAGCCCACGTGGGAAGCTCAATGTTAAAAACAATCAGGAAAACGACATATGCAGTTTTTGGGACACCTGAATAGACATAAGGGTCTTGAACGTCTAGCTCTCACTGGCAAAATTGAGGGCAAGCGAGGCAGGGGTAGGCCCAGAACAACATACTTAGGGAACCTAAACAAATGGGTAACAGGAAAAGATCAGTGAAACGTAGCTTTTTTGAGAGCATCCGAGCAAAGGAATGAATGGAAAACCATGATCGCCGATGTCTGTCGCAGATCTGGCACTGGATAATGATGATGATTGTAGAGCACATCATCCCCTCTTGGCAACAGCCTCTGCGCGCTTTACACTACATTGTACATCCTTGTGGGTATGTGGCGTTTGCTTCTTCTTTCCTATCAAACATCTACCGTCATTATCTCCCCTTCTTCTTTTTCATGTCTGTTACTCTCTAGTCTCTTGTAGCACCTCTAATTTTCTGACGCTCATATGACCTTATGCAGTTGCGGCGCCTTAAATCCTCTAAGTGGGTGGTTGGCGGGTGCTCTGGTGTGGTTTGCTTCTTCTTTCCTATAAAAAATCTATCTTCTTTATCTCCCCTCCTTCTATTTTGTGTTTGTTACTCTCTTGTAACACTTCTAATCTTCGGCACTTAAATGACCTTATTGTGTTGCAAGTGCCGTAAAACTCTTTAACTAAAACTAAAACTAAAATCCTCTACTAAAACTAAAACTAAACACTAGATCCTTACTCCAACAGACCATAGATCACAGAGAAACGTCCTCGGCTCATACATGCGAACAGCTGAGTGTTCAGACACTAACAATAGTAACAATAAACTGACAAGATCTTTCACTGTCTATAGTCGGGCACTTATTCCCACCTGATTGAAGTGAGGAAAATTCGAGTTAAAATTAAATGCTTTTTGGAAGGACACGACGTCGGGCCCCTGACGGGATTTGAACCCATGGCCTTACAGTTGCGAATCCAATAGTCTACTCTAACCTCCATTCCACCACCGATGATGATGGTGATAATAAAAATAAGTGAAACTGTCGAAGTTCTATGCCACTTTTTAGATCATTTAGGAGGCGGGTTACTTAATAATAATAATAATAATAATAATAATAATAATAATAATAATAATAATAATAATAATAATAATACATGTAATAGTTTTAAAAAATAACTTATATAGCGCTCAACCCTAATTAAAGTACACAGGCTTTGAGCGCTTCACAATAAAGTACAATAGTAACATAAAAGTAGCGAGAATCCAGGATCAAAATGTACAGATCATCACAGGAGCAATGAGATCTACGCCCATTCATGTCATGGAGACACTAACTGGGCTAGAACTAGAACCCCTGAACGACAGACGTGCGCGATTGTTCATCAAGTAAAGGTCAGAAGAATGTCAACCCATCCAATGAAGGATAGATCTTCTAAAAGCCAGAGCAAACGCTTAAAAAAAGAACAAGTTTCCTCCCTATGGCCAGACACTCCAGCTCTGGACTTGAAATCTCTCTTGAAGAATCTCCAACCCCACTAGACCCGTGTCAAGTTCACTCTCTTCAGACTAATCACCCCCTTCAAATTGGAGAAAACCTAGAAAAGCTTGGCACCAAATCTGAAGTCCCTCCTCCAGTACTCAAGTCACTGACACTCGACTACTAGCAACCGGTGGAATCGAGTGTACACAGATGGATCAGCAACTGATGCAGTCAGAAACGGCGGTGGAGAGTAAAAGAGAGCCTTTCCATCCCCACAGGATCTCTATCTTTCAATTACAAGGCAGAAACAGCAGCGCCATTCTCTTGAATGACCAAAAATCTAAAGCCAACACCGTATCCTCACAGATGCCAAATCTGTCCTACAAGCTCCCCAAAAGCCACAAACAGCTCACGTACGACAACTCCTTTCACTCCTATGTGATCTAAACTCCCAAGCCAACACAACTCTGCAGTGGATACCAGGTCACTGTGGCATTCATGGAACTGAAAAAGCAGACAACTTAGCCAAAGAAGGAGCCAAAATGACCCCAGATTGAAGATGGCATGGATCTCTCAGAGTCAAAAACACAAATAAAATCTGCCTTTATAAACATATGGAAAAGGTCCCACCCTAAACACAACAGACGTGACCCCTACTACATATTAAATAGAGCAGACCAAGTCACAGTCTTTAGACTCTGTTGTGGCCACAACACCATATGCACACCAAATTAAAAGTGGCAGAGTCAGCGATCTGGGATTGTGGACACGACCAAGAGGATGCCAACCACATCCTCCAGCACTGCCCGCGCTACGCCACCCTTCGTACACAGATGTGGCAGAATGTGG